GTTCAAGGGAGCCCACCGAAACTTCATGCATCAGAACATCAGAATTCCAATTCTTCAGTGCAGCAGTGTCAGGAAAGTGTTTGGGTCATGGTAACTGAGTACTGATGAATGGGTTAATACTAGTCTCATTTTTCCTGAAACTAGGTTAGTTACCACCAGAGCAGGCTTCCTATAAACCTAGCCCACAAGTCATATCCTCTGTGCTCCACATAGGCTGACCAGATGCAAATGTAATGCTTTTGGACTTCCCAGCTTCCAGAACCATGAACAACAAACCTCTTTCTTTTTATAAGCAACCCAGTCTCAGGTGTTCTGTTACAACAACAGACCAGAGATGATGATGACCTTTAATATAACCTCTGTGATATTTTCAACTTCATCATTGGACACAGGTAATTTATCTGCATGGGCTGAGGAAGCAAAGAGAAACGGCCTCAAACTGTTGGCAAGGAATAAAGAGAACAATGTTCCAGAAAATGCATCCAAGTGTCAGCTGTTTCAAGGACAGTCATCCTTGCAGAGGAGGAAACCCTAGACGTTCATTGTTTCACATGGCAATGCGTGGGTCTTTGCGCCCTCTGTACACTGGCTTAGGCTTTCTGGAAGTCTGGAGTGGTGTTAGAGATAACTGCCAACTATGGGTGAGGGCAGAAACTTCTGCCGGTGTGAGGGCAAAACAGGCCTAACGTTGGCAAAACTCCGTAATGGAAGACCATCTAGCCAAAGGGTAGAGTTCATTCTCTGGAATCAGAAGAGCCCCTGTCACCATACAGCTATGTCACCCTGGCAAGGCCCATTCATCTTCTCATAGCTCAGTCTCCTGGTTTGTGACAGGGGTCTGACAACAGCCCTGTCTCTGTAAGTGCCCTGCTATGTGGGAAATACAGAGTGGTACATGATAGGCTGGAAAGATGGCTCAGTGCCTCCAGGGGACCTGAGTTTGATTCCCAGCAGCCATATTGGGCAGCCAATAACTGCCTGTAACTCCAGATCCAGGGGCTCTCACTCCCTCTTCTGGCCTCTGTGGTCACTTGTACTCCCATGCATGAACATAATTAAAAATAAAATCTTTAAAAACTGTTGTATGGTTTATTAATTGTGAGGAAGGAGGCATTAGGTTGGCAGCATAGAAAAAGGGAAGGATGTCAAGTACTTCAGCATTGTTGATCACTTATGTCCAAGTTGGACAGGAACTACCCCTTTCTGTCTCTCTGAGGCCATTTCCTCTGCTCTTCATGTCAGGCCCTGCAGGTCTCTCTGCCAGGGTCTGGTTCCTGTTCTATGTGTCTTTGCTGTCAATCTCAGGTCACACTTGTCCCAGGAATGACTTTAAGACCTGGGACTGAGCTCTGTGAGCCAGCACAGGTGACTGAGGCTGGCCAACACCTCTGGACTAATCTGTGTGGACACTAACATCAGATGTTGTTTATGTCCTTGATTTTAAAAAAAATGACTTGACTTTACTGGATTGCCAATTCCAAGTGCCTAGAACAGAGGCCAGCCGAGCTGTAATCTCAGCAGATTTTACACCAAGGAGACTCTTTAATATAAAAAGAGTGAAGCACAGGCTGGGGAAATGGCTGAGTCTGTAAAATGCCTCACTTGTGAACATGAAGACCTAGTCCCCACAACCAGCATGGTGGGAGACACTTGTTGTCTCAGCTCTGGGGAGGTGGAGGCAGCTGGATTCCTGGGCCTTGCTGGCGAGCCAGCTTAGCCTACCCAGTCAGTCCCAGGCCAAGTAAGACTCCCATTTCAAAAAAACAAAAACAAAAAACCAAAATAAAGGTGGATGGTCCCTGAGGAATGATACCCAAGGTTGACTTCCAGCCTCCACATGCACACACATATATAGAAAAGGATAGTGAGCACAGCCTTAGAATTACTACACTGTGAACTGGGAAAATTATACGCTTACCCCCAGGACCTCAGTTTCCCCCCCTTGCAAAATGCAAGTCACCCGTGCTTCTGGCTAGGGTCTTGGTGATTCTACTGACTGGAGGGTTGTTTTAAATGTCAAAGTGTTCACACATGTGCCTGTTCATAGCTGGGCACAGGAGTCTGCCTTCCAACCCCAGTGATCTTGACTCTCCAGGGTCCATATGGGTGGTGTGGGCTTCCCTGCTTCTGTGATGAAAAAGGCATCCCAAAGCTTGACCTGAATAGAACCAACTCTATACATGCCATAGTGCTAAGGCACTCTGCAACAGTGGCCCTCTTTGGGGGCCATGTAGGCTTATAATTTCTGAAAGTGAACTAGACTTTCAAGGACATTGTACTTTACAAATTATGACATCACTTCTTTGGCCAGCACGTCTTGCACACCTACTGCTTCTCACAGTGACTCTTTGAGGGTGAAAATGTGGCTGTTTGGAAGACCCAAGAAACCAAAGCAGCTTGTTAGTCCCTCAGGAGTAGCTTGCTCTCAAGGCTTCTGCCATTAACCTTAGGCCCCACAGGCAACAGGCAGCCTCTCTCTCACAGGGAAGCCGTATTAATCAAGCCCATCTTCATCTGAGAACAAAGTAGGATGACCAGCTTTCCTTGGAAAGTTCCTGGTTTCAGCAATGGGAAGTCCTATATCCCAAGGATAATTCAATCATTGGTAAGCCAGGGCCACAGCTCACCCTAATTCCCAGCATTGATAGACTTCGATGTATACAAGAATCATGTTTTTGGGGTGAATGACTCTCTGGACCAAATACTTTCCTAACTATACTAAAAAACATTGTCAAGAACCAATTATAATTTCATTATTCCTGGAATTTGGCATTTACTTACCAGTGGCTCTTGAATTAACCTGTAGGTTAGAATCAGGGGAGCTTTTAAGAGATACCAATGTCTGAATTTTCCCCAAGATCAATTAGAGTCTCTTGGCGTGGAGTCGAGTCATTGGGTTGTATTGTTAAAGCCCTCCCTCACCCCTAGAGAGCCATCAGCACAGAGAGCAGACTTCAAGGCCATTATTTATCAGCAGCTCCAAAGTGCTGGTTTTAGTCCCTCCTGTTTGAACCATTACCTCTCTTGCATAACACAGGAAAAATTATCTGGGGTAGAAAGAGGTCTCATTAACTGAAATTGAAGGTAGTTTCACTTTTGGTTATGAAATCAAAGGCAACATTGGACAAGTGCATAAAGAGATAAATACAAGAACTAACTGTAACAGCAAAATCTTGGAAATAATCTTATCTATCAATAGTAGAAGCCCATGATTAAACTGTAGCAGTAAATTCCTGGAACAGGAATACTAGACTGTAATAGCTATCTAATTGGACTTAAAGCCCTCTCAATGGGAGTGAACTCATGGGTGGCACTGTAAACTCAGTCAAATATACATGGCTGGAGAGGACATAGATCCTAGAGAAAACCCTATCTCTGTCATATCTCTAGACAAATGAAATTTCCCATATGCTAAATATGGATCCTTATATTACAGACAAGCATACTATACAGCAATCATCAAAGAAACTTCTTTTTGCAACAGATGGAGGCTACTGCAGAATTCCACAACTGATCAGACACAGAGAATATATGCACGAGAGATGCCCAATCCTAGGTGACACATCTACAGCTAAACCTCTGTATCTAAGGCTCACGGAGCATAGCAGAATGAGGGGTAGAGAGAAAACTAATGCATCCCTCAACTCTCACCAGTGAACCTCACCCACTCATTGCTCAGGGACCATTGTGGAAGAGGGGGAGGAAAAATTGTAAGAGCTTGGACTAGTTCATGAAGACAGGGAAGGAGAGGCTTTCAGGCCACTGGAAACTTGCACATGTGAACTGGTGATCATGGTGGCATTGAGCTCAGGACCCCACCAACTCAATTAAACAAGGCCCCAGAGGGGAGAGAGAAATAGGTGACAGGCAGCAGGCAGCACTAAACTGAGAGCTATTGGAGACTGATTGCTACTGGGAGAGGGAGAGTATGCCTTACGTGCAGACTCTAGATGGGCTGACCAGACTCTAGTGGATGATTTGCACTGAAGGACATCTGGGTACAAATGCTTGACTGGATAGGACTTAGCATGTATGACCGAATGCATGAGGTCCAGTGGGGGGATGGGGGTCTAAATTTGATTAAGAACTATTGTATGACATTACAAAAACAATAAAATTTTTTAAAAAATTAACAGCAAATTTTTAATGAAATACTGTGTTAATCATTATATCATGATCAGAGAAAAATATATGCAATTTCAAAGTGAAAAATAATTTTAAAATGACAAAGAAATTTTTTTTAAAAATGAGCAAATCAGCTACATATGCCAATGCAGGAATGAAATGACCATAGGTAATATTTTTAAATTTAAATTACAGGCTATTGTCACTGACTTCTTGGGGGCCTAGAAGGCCTCACAGTAGGTAGCAGAACACTTTATATCAGAGGGTTCCTGGGTTTATACTAACATCTGTAGTAGTAACATCATGGTGAATACCACAGCAGACTCCTGCCAGCCCTGTATCTCAGGATATACAGAGATATCTTAAGAGAATTGGGCGGCAGTGTCTGGTCTTAAGATATTACATTGCAGGGCCAGAGAGATGGCTCAGCAGTTAAGAGCACTGGCTATTCTTGCAGAAGACCTGGGTTTGAGTCCCAGCACCCATATGGTGGCTAACAACCATCCTCCATAACTCCAGTTCCAGGGTATCTGACACCCTCTTCTGTCCTCCACAGGCATTGCATAATACAGGTGTGCTTATACACATGCAAGCAATACACTCATACACATAAAATAAAAATAATAAACAAAATATTTCTTCAAAGATATTACATTGCAACCCAGAACCAAAGTCTTCTGAGCACAGGCTCTTGCCTTTGCTTTGCAGTGGGTACAGAGTTAGACAGGGCATCTCATCCATCATCTTTCCTACTGTCCACAAGGATTCATTAGAGATGCAGCTGTGATCATGAATCCCTAACTTTGTTTGCTAATCTTGTTAGTTATTCTAGGATGCTGACAAATGCTTCATTTTAAAAAGGGCCGAGAGCTTACCTGGTCCTAGTTTGGCCACAGCATAGAGGAGGTCATAGTTGAGGACAGGGGTGGCATCACTGATGGGCTTCCAGCCAACAGGGGGAGATGAAGGGGGCGAGATGAGAAACTGTTTGGCAGGCTGTGGGGGAGCCAAATGCAGTTTGTCTCCGTCCGTCTCTGGAGTCTGAACCTTGCAAACAGAGGAGAATGTGACATGTGATTCTCCGTGGTTTCAGATGAGCTCTGTTGGTATACTAAGTTGTGGGTTTCAGGTGGGGTTAGGCTGCAGTTTCACTCCTGACTGTATGTCATACGCTTCTTTTTGAATCAGTCCTTAAAACAGGAGCTCTTGTCTTTGAGGAACATCAGAGTCCCCTGGAGGCCTTCCAAAACATGTTGCTGAGCCCTGCCCCGGCACTTTGAGCCCCGCCCCAGCACTTTGAGCCCCGCCCCAGCACTTCGAGCCCCGCCCCAGCACTTCGAGCCCCGCCCCAGCACTTTGAGCCCTACCCAAGCACTTTGTTTCTGTTGATGTATGCAGGTGTGCAGATGCACATGTGTACATTTGCATGTGGAAGCCAGAAGACAAGCTTGGATGTCATTCCTCAGGCACCACGTCCCTTGTTTTTTGAGCTAGGATCTCTCACTGACCTGGAGCTCATGGAGTAGGCTAGGCTATCTGGCCATCACTTACCAGTGCTGAGATTACAAGTACAAAGCACCACACCCAGCCTTTTTTATTTTATTTCAAATTACAACTGAGTAATATTGCTCTGCATGAACAGACCTTAATCTCTTTATCCCTCCATCTGTTGAATGTTTGTACTCATCTTTTGGTCTATTGTGAATAGTGTTATTGTGAACATTCCTGTCTAAGCATTTGAATCTCTCTTCTTAATACATATTGGTAACTCAATATTATCTTTTAAAGGAAACTAGTTTTTTTTTTTTCTTTTTGTCCTTGCTTTTTGTTTTTGAGACAGAGTTTCATTATGTAGCTTAGGCTAGCCTTGAAATCAAGATCCTCCTGCCTCAGGCTATGGAGTGCTGAGATTATAGGCGTGTAACATCATGAGTTCTGAGTAGGTTTTTACTAGAAGAGGTTCAGAAATTTGCCCTAGCTATACAAATTAGTAAGGTATAGGATTGGAACATGAGGCTGAGGCTGAGCCTGTATTCTTTCAACTGTGCTATCTCTATGAGGGATAAAAGGAGAATCAGCACTCATAGATCTGTTAAGAGATGAATTTGCCTAGTGATGGATAAGTTCTGAATGGAGATGATGGACACTGATTATCTAGTGTTGTGAACATCATAATCATCCCTAAGAACTACCCATGCCTGTTGGGAATAGCCAGCATTTTGTTTTGCAAGACTCTAAACACTAAGTTAATGTCCATAGATCTGTAACCTTTTGTCTTGAATCTGCATCATTAACTAGTCTTTATGGTCCACTAAAACTATCATTTAAGTTTGCATTATGGCACTAACAGGAGGGTTAGCAGTCCTTGTGATGAAATCATTACTGTTACAGTTTCTAGCTGGAATTTATTATTCATCCACCAACACTAGGTGCTTGAGCACACAGCAGTCCATTTCATCCCCACGCCAGTCATATGTGGTGATGACATCATCATTCCCATCTTACAGATGAGGGAACTGACCCCCATTGAAGCTCTATGACTTGCCCTGGTTAAGTTCAGTTTGGTAGCTCTTAGAGACTGTGTTCTAATCCGCAGGCACTGTCTCTGTCTGGGAATCTTGTCTATTTTCTGTTTTAAAACTCATTTTATTCTTTGAGAATTCATACATGCATATTCACACACTGTGTTTGGAACACATTCATCCTTATTCTACCCCTCCCAACCTCGTATGCTTTCAAAAATTTTTTGTTATTTTTATTTTATGTGTATGAGTGAATTGCCTGCATGTAAGTGCACCCATGTCGTACAATGACTGCCATGGAAGTCAGAGAGGGCATTGGATCCTCTGGAACTGGAGTTAGGGAAGGTTGTTAACCACCTTGTGGGTGCTGGGAACTGAACCTGGGTCCTCTATAAGAGCAATGCTTTTAACCGCTGAGCCATCTATTTTTAATAGCTCACAGAGTCCAATTTGTGCTATTAATGGGTGTTGGGCCATCCATTGGAGCATGGTAGACCTACAGGAGGCCACATCCCCCAAAGAAACTGACTCTCCCTCCTCCACAGGCCATCAACTATCTAGATCCTCAGCTACGGTTGGTCATGAGCATCTCCAGAACCATGCTGTACTGACTAGCTTATCTTGTGTAGGCAACCACTGGGCCTATTTCTCAGTGAATTAACCATAAGGACAAACCAACCTAAAGTAAAAAGATTGCCATTGTCATTTTAAAAGGGATATATATATATATATA